AATTTGCGTGTAAAAGAAGTGGACGGTTACGATGTTTCATATCACGTGGTGCGCTTTCGTGTCACGTGGTATAGACTCGGCGTATGCTATTGGTGGCACGTGGTACGCACGTGACGCGCCCACGTGATCGCGCGTCTAACTGTTCTACTATTATCGAGTTCTAATCAGCAGTATCATTGATTATTGTAAGTCAGAGAATTGAATGATAAACATCAGTTACGACTAAAAAGCGGGCCGGGTTTATACAAATTTCCGGGGCGGGATGATATCACCTTGAGATGTTTATCTAACAGCGGGCCGGGCTGAGTGATAATATGATCCCGCGTCGAAATCCCGGAGATATTTATAATATAAATAATTATAGTGTCCTCATGAAATAAAACAATTAATCTGGTTAGTTTGCAAAATTATGATATATCTACGACTTCATTAAATGCAATACAACATCAATTATATATTTTAGATAATCATTAAACTTCCCATTATTCAACCAAAGGTTCTTTTCATGAGCTCAGGAATCTCAAAGTTAAAACTCTTACGAACAGAAACATCAGAACGTGTAAGATTAAATCTCTTCAACCACATAAATTCACAGAGTGCCAAGTCCATTGCAGCTGAATCAGTCCTGGTTCGTCCGTGCCCCCCTCTCATGTGACGCTTAGCGTGGTACCACATACCTTCACAGGTATTTGTATGCACGCCCGTTGCAGGGTCGATGAATCCACGTCGATGATTCACGGTGAGGTGGATATATCCATGGCGATTCAGGTGTGTGTAGCCTTTCCAGCGGTCTGATAGGATTGTAGTACCAGGGTTGATGTAACGCTTTATCAGAGAGAGGAGGGTGTGATGGTTCCTTCTGTTATCAGGGCACTCCACCAAGAAACATTCTCCAGTAGTTCGACTGACACCTCCAAGCAACCACTTTCCAACAACACGTCTGCCAGAGTTATATTTCCGTTTCCCGAACTTGCTTTCGTCGACCTCGACGATGTGACCATCACCTCCTATTTTTCCTCCCGCCCCATTCTGGATCAGGTCTTCTGTCATACACTGACAGAAGACTGGATGACACTGTCGCACACGCTGGCCAAATGCCAGTGCTTATAGCAATGCGACAATTGACCCCCCGACAATTGACCCCCCGACAATTGACCCCCCGACAATTGACCCCACGATATTTCATCATTATACTTTAGTACTAAATATCTTATTTAAAATTCAGAGAATTATATTTGTTAGGTAAAAAACGGAATTTGTATAGTAACCATGGTAACGATGATTACTACATGAACTTGCACGTGCAAAGATTTGCGAGCATCATTTTGATTGATTATGTGGTATTTACATTTACGTTGTGCTTTACATTTACAATTTGTTTCAAATAACAAGTTTCAAATAGTAGCCGGTTAGTAGCCGGCTAGTGACCGCTTTTCAAGTGTCGGCTAGTAGCCGGTTTGGAACTAGAAGGTCCGCTTTAGAGCCGGCTAGTGACCGGTTAGTAGCCACTTGGTGGTTACTAGCCGGTTAGTAGCCGGTTAGTAGCCGGCTAGCGACCGCTTTTCGAGTGCCGGCTAGTAGGTCCGCTTAAGAGCCGGCTAGTGACCGGTTAGTAGCCACTTGGTGGTTACTAGCCGGTTAGTAGCCGGTTAGTAGCCGGCTAGTGACCGCTTTCTAAGTGCCGGCTAGTAGCCGGTTTGGAACCGGCTACTAGTAGGTCTGCTTTAGAGCTCGGCTAATAGCCGGCTAGTGACCGGTTAGTAGCCGGTTAGTAGCCACTTGGTGGTTACTAGCCGGTTAGTAGCCGGTTAGTAGCCGGCGAGTGACCGCTTTTCAAGTGCCGGCTAGTAGCCGGTTTAGAACCGGCTACTAATAGGTCTGCTTTAGAGCCGGCTAGTGACCGGTTAGTAGCCGGTTAGTAGCCACTTGGTGGTTACTAGCCGGTTAGTAGCCGGTTAGTAGCCGGCTAGTGACCGCTTTCTAAGTGCCGGCTAGTAGCCGGTTTGGAACCGGCTACTAGTAGGTCTGCTTTAGAGCTCGGCTAATAGCCGGCTAGTGACCGCTTAGTAGCCGGTTAGTAGCCACTTTGTGGTCACTAGCCGGCTAGTAGCCGGTTAGTAGCCGGCTAGTGACCACTTTTCAAGTGCCGGTTAGTAGCCGGTTGTTAATGTGAAGTTGAGGAGCTGTTATTACAAAAGTGGCTACTAGCCGGCTAGTAGCCGGCTAGTAGCCGGTGTTCATATGGTACTGTGCAGGGACGTTGCATAGACGTTGCATAGACGTTGCATAGACGTTGCATAGACTGACCGTGCAGGGAGTGTGCATAGAGTGTTCATTGTGCAGGGACGTTGCATAGACGTTGCATAGACGGTTCTTTTGTTGTTGCACGGACGTTGCATAGACGTTGCATAGACTGTCAGGTGGTAAACGACCAAGTTGCCCATTATGTAGATATACGTAACGAGGCATAATTCATCTCGCTTGCATTATGTAGATATACGTAACGAGGCATAATTCATCTCGCTTGCATTATGTAGATATACGTAACGAGGCATAATTCATCTCGCTTGCATTATGTAGATATACGTAACGAGGCATAATTCATCTCGCTTGCATTATGTAGATATACGTAACGAGGCATAATTCATCTCGCTTGCATTATGTAGATATACGTAACGAGGCATAATTCATCTCGCTTGCATTATGTAGATATACGTAACGAGGCATAACTGAAGGCATACTGAAGGGAAAGGAAGCAGTTCTAACGAGCTCTTCTCAAACACAAGGATATATCTTGTGAACTCGGCAAGTATATATGAAACATTTGTCATGGAGTTGTAGAGGGAGTTATGTGCCTCGCCGGGCTAAAGTAGTGGATGACCTTGCTGTACGGCAAGTTAAACAAGGATCTGAAACTACTAGGTTCCGTACAGACTCAACTCTGCACCCGTGTCAATATGTTCATTATATGCAAGCCTCTTGATTTATAATCACCGAGTCTAGTAATTGTTTAAGAGAGTTCTCTGGCAGTTACGAAACTCGAGAGACTGTGGGATACTGAAGGAAAGGAAGCAGTTCTAACGAGCTCTTCTCAAACACAAGGATATATCTTGTGAACTCGGCAAGTATATATGAAACATTTGTCATGGAGTTGTAGAGGGAGTTATGTGCCTCGCCGGGCTAAAGTAGTGGATGACCTTGCTGTACGGCAAGTTAAACAAGGATCTGAAACTACTAGGTTCCGTACAGACTCAACTCTGCACCCGTGTCAATATGTTCATTATATGCAAGCCTCTTGATTTATAATCACCGAGTCTAGTAATTGTTTAAGAGAGTTCTCTGGCAGTTACGAAACTCGAGAGACTGTGGGATACTGAAGGAAAGGAAGCAGTTCTAACGAGCTCTTCTCAAACACAAGGATATATCTTGTGAACTCGGCAAGTATATATGAAACATTTGTCATGGAGTTGTAGAGGGAGTTATGTGCCTCGCCGGGCTAAAGTAGTGGATGACCTTGCTGTACGGCAAGTTAAACAAGGATCTGAAACTACTAGGTTCCGTACAGACTCAACTCTGCACCCGTGTCAATATGTTCATTATATGCAAGCCTCTTGATTTATAATTCATCTCGCTTGCATTATGTAGATATACGTAACCAGGCATAATTCATCTCGCTTGCATTATGTAGATATACGTAACGAGGCATAATTCATCTCGCTTGCATTATTTAGATATACGTAACGAGGCATAATTCATCTCGCTTGCATTATGTAGATATACGTAACGAGGCATAATTCATCTCGCTTGCATTATGTAGATATACGTAACGAGGCATAATTCATCTCGCTTGCATTATGTAGATATACGTAACGAGGCATAATTAACATATAATATTTGTTGGGAGGTGCCACACCATTCTTGTCCAAAATTGGAGATTTTCAACGAAGTAAATGGCTACACTATGAATGTACATTGTATTATTATAGAACAACATTATACACTGTATATAAGCAACATTGTAACTTAAAGTAAACTCTAATGCCATCTTGGGCACTGCAAAAGCACTAATTTCACAATTCTTTTCATATCAATATTTCACCTTTGTAGGGATTGTACGCCCCTTCTCTTCATATCCCCATTGTAGGGATGACGTAGGGGAGTGAGTTTCGCAATAATAATACTGACGGTTCGGTTGGAAGAGGTGTAATATCAGACGTAGTGATGACGTAGTAATGACGTAGTGATGACGTAGAATACGTTATCTATTAAATGAGCTGCAGCAGATTAGCTACACGTGATACAGCTACTGACACAGCATATACACAGGATTTAACAGCATTAACTCAGCTCAGGATGTACATAACAATCTGACTCACGCAAGATTTCAATTCATCATAATTGATAATAATAAACTCGTGGCCACGATCAGTTGTGAGAAAACATGATTAAAGATGACATAATTTTTAGTACTACTGCTATCAGCTATTTGTAGAACCCACATTCTAGCAGAGATTGCAGAGTAACATGATATCCTGAAACTCATTGCAGCGCACCACGTGACACCACGTGACAGTACCACGTGACCGGTGACTCATCCATTTCATTACATTACTCTACATCTATAATCTAATAATGTCGTGTGATCTGTTCTCTCTAGTTTGTAAACCCTCGTTTTTTCATTGTGTTCCTCTGATTTACCAACTTATCCGTAGCGTCGATATTTATTTGGTAGGTGTTATCAAATATGTTTAGTCAAATTCTGAGTTAAAACATCATGCAATATGTATAGTATATCGCCCGATGGTATAGCGGGCTCCCGCTATATCAGCGGGCTGTAACAGCGGGATATATCAGGTCTTCTAACTCGCGGGCTGCGAGGGCCTGCTGGTGCAAATATAGCCCGCTGGTGAATATATTATATATGTATAAAATTAGAATTGACCTCCTTTTAATTAGAGGTACACTTAATGGCTGATTATTATGTTCGCATACATTTACAGGCAGTAGTGTTGAAAACAGAATATATTGTTTGAAGACACGCTTCAGTAGTGAGATATTCAATCTACTTCCTAACTGTGTAATCACTGCTAACTCCCGAGAGGAACCTAGTGCACACTTCAGGTTAATTCTTTGATTTACAACTCTTTATCATCGTTGGCATTTTTAAAACCTCTCTGTATTATTTTCAAAATTCTATTATACGAGTTATTCTCATATTTCGTTAAAACTGTTATTTTATGTTCGCATTTGTATTGCATGATATTCAATCACAAAATGATTAACCTGCTCATATCAGTGCTCGTATCAGTGCTCAGTGAGTAACAAGATGTTATATTTTAGGTACCAGAATCCGGTCAGCGATCAAGCAGCGTATTCCAATTTCTTTCTAAATTAGAAATAGAACAACCTTGATCTTGAATATCAAGGTAAGAATATGTATGTTTACTAGCACTTGACTGTTTTACAAGATCTTGAAGTTGATATTCCAATATAAGTCTTTAATCTAGACTAATAGTCATCCCTATTATACGGCTCCTCATTCTCCATCCTAAACAATAATTTAAAATATTCCAGCCCACACATCAGTAGTCCAATCTTATCAAAAAATGAACTACATTGCTCGCAATAATTGACAGGATATTATATTTTAGGTACCAGAGTCCGGTCAGAGATTAAGCTGCGTTTCCGATATTTTCCTACTAAAGATCAACATTTATCTTCAATATTAAGGTAATAATATGTACGTAATACTCGACCTCTCACAACTCCCCTTAATCAAACTCGTACTTTATCCTGAACACCTGCGGTGCCTCATCTCATTTACAAATTATGATTACTACTTATACTTTTTAAAGCTATAAATAGCTTTAAACTTATAACAGTTTCATTTATCTCAGAATATCTTGATTTACTGAACAATGGACAACTATTTAAAGAACGGACAAGAAATATTCCTCAAGTTCTGCACCTCTGATGACAAACGACCCACTATGCTGCCAAGAGCTCCAGATCAGACGTATATAGACAGGTACCCGGAAAGTAGTGGTTTCAGAGACCAACGAAAACGTCAGTCTGATTATGAGGCCGAAGTTATGGTGTATAGGGCATTGGAGAAATTACCGGACGGTATGATCGTCGTTCTTCATAACTTTGAATTCACGCACCACCAATATTGTTTGTGTGATCAGAGTCATTTGCGGGACAAAAAGACGTGCAAAGGGTGCAAGAACTCGTCGAATAAGGAAGGGGAATGTGATTTTTTAATTTTATGTCCAGGCTCCATTGTTATAATCGAAGTTAAGAACATGTCGCACATTGAAATCGATGATGTTGCGGTTGACAAGGAAAATCATTTCCGAGCATTATCTGGTACGTTCACAAAATCGGTTGACCAGAGAAAGAAGATAGAATCTCTGATTCAATGTATAGACAAGGACATAACTATCCGGCAGTTCACTGCGTATCCTAATTTCAGTAATCAATTTAAAGGACAGTTCCAGGCTAGTGAAGATACAAAACTTCAGCTAAGCGATTCAGAATTATCAACTGTGATATTTCATGAGGACATTGTCGATGGTAACAAGATCAACGATAACAATAATAGGGAACCCATAACTGCAGGAACATCAGAGGAACCAGCCCTGAAGAAGAGAAAAATTATTTCTCTCGGTTTTGACATCTCATCAGACGAGGACTTATCAAATTTTGGTTTTTGGTGGAATAACAACGCAACAATAGCTCAAGATACAAGAATTAATCATGATGCCTTTCAGAAAGTTAGAAATATGTTACTCGCTATCTGGGCTACCGATAAAAACTGCGATCAATCGAAATGTAGTTTAGCAAACTGCATATTAAACATTGATGAACGGCTCAGATCAGGAAAATTTACATTTTTACCAAAAAAAGGGAAGAATCGTGTACCGAATCCTGGAGTTGTAACAGCTCCTGATGTTATCAGAAACTTCGTTAAAGTGGAGAACCTGACAGTAGAACAATGTAAAGCGTTCGAATCAAGCGAGAATCTGTTGTGGATTAATGGACCCGCTGGAGCGGGGAAAAGTGTGATACTTTGCGGTCGAATAATCAAACTTGTACAACTAAATGAGGACAATAAAGTTGTGTTATTCAAATTCGGCGGTGATGGTAACAACTGTCAGCTTTATCAGCGTGCATTAAAGAATGCTGATGTAGAATATCAAGAGACCAGCATGTCTGACGTCACAGAACTAGTTACTCTAATATCAGAGAGTGAGTGTAAAGTTATCATTGTAGAGATAACACGTTGGGATAGACAGAAGTTAATTGATACAATCAGTGCTGTGACCAACTGTCACATATTTATCGATGATATACAGGATTTATTGTATTGGAGCTCAACTGAGGAGTGTAGTGTACTGATGGACAAGTTGTTATTATTAAAGTACTCTGTCATGGTTGCATGTGACATGGCACAGGGTTATTGGAATTTGAGTAAACAAGAATTAATTGACAAACTAAGAATGATAACTTTCAAACTATCATCCACTCAGTTGGTACGTTTATCAATGAGCCTTAGAAATACATGTGATTTATCTGACATCTCATGTGTAATACGAGAACAATTAAGAGAAATATATTCAGGAATACCTGATGTATTAGATATGATTTTACCTACACAATTACCAGGACACTTCATACACGGTACATTACCTGTCATACATGTGTTTAATGATTTCAATGTTACTAGTATTATGCATGTTAGACGTGTATTTAATAATGAATTAGAAAGATTGTGTGTTACGGATGGATTAAATTATTCTGATATAGGTATAGTACATACTCATGTCACTAGTAGTGAAATGTCACTAGTTAATGACAGTGTTAATATGAGATGTGTTAACACTGCTAGTAAGATTGCAGTGTGTAACAGTAGGTTTAGTTATTCTGCTCAGTGGCCAGCTGTAATAGTACTGCACACAGTGTGGTACGGTGAGGAGTGGGACCTGACTCAACTTTACTTAGCGTTATCCAGAGCACGTGTTTACTGCTCTGTTGTTATATTCCCATGGGAGGGTAGAACATTAGACGATTCACCTCACATGTTACCTTTGTTACGTAAACTGAGTAGCTTTGCTCGTATTATACGGCATTAAATTTAATATTACTGTGTAATAACGTTGGTGGGTGACTAGTTCTATTTTTCAGAAACATGTATACACAAGCCTTTAATGTGTGGCTATTGATTACATATGAAATATTAATAATTGACGATTTTCGAAATTTTGACCCAACCGGGATTCGAACTCGCAACCTCCGGGTTAAAGGGCCAAGACTATCAGCCAATTACGCCACTGAGGCGACATTTGTACAAATATATTAAGCTAGCAATTAAAACTTGCAGATAATTTCACCCACTAACCAAAGTATTACTATTATTTAATTGTGTTTCCTTTTTGATTTATTGCTAAATATTACAGTGTTTTGTATCGAAATGTTTTATACAATAATGTGAATGCGCCAGATTGAACATAGTAATCATATTTTTCATTCGTGGTTTGGTCTTGGAAAACAACAAAATTACCCCAAAATATGAAGAATGTCAAAAAGTAAAAACGGGACCACTAGTCTGCCTAATAAACTATTGACTATTGATATAATTCGTTTACAGTTATAATAGCAGAAAATAGAGTTTAATTTTGTAAACTATTAAGTGCAGAACATGAAACTGGGTTTTGAGAATCAAGAATAGCAAAACATTTGTCCGGAAAACGTATCCATCCTATAAAACCGATAAAATTAATTCGCAATTGTACACTGAAAAAAAAACGTAGATCATAGATCGCGGCTCAACGTTGCGCATGACTGATGACTGGTGATTAAAACTTTCAACGAAAGCAAAGAGAACAGAACGCAACTAAATTGTCCGATTGTATGCGCGCGCGATTTCCAAAAAACTGCACGTGTCGCATTAAGTGCTATCAAATCATTTCATAGGCGCAGGTTATAAATATATCTCCACTGAAAGCACACTCCCTAATTAAATTGCGCGCATTGCAGTCATTTCCTTCAAACTTCATGAATTGTGAATAGAGATCAAATCTTTTACAATGTATTCAGAATAAATATATCATTATCAATATGGCTATGCCTATGCGCTTATATAAATTACTTGGAATGCTTTTGAAATAAAATAAAAAGCTCAAAAACACTGCTGTCTTAATGTCTTAATGTCTTATTTGGATGATTAATTACTCTTATAGTAATTACTGATACTCAAGTTCTAAGGAATAATATCAGAACAATATGGTTCAAGATTATACCATCCGAACTCGCTGACTGACTTTTAAGATATCATTATCTTGTAGTATAGCGCGATGCGCTACTGTGCCGCGCCGAGCTGAGATGAATTGACATCGTCAATTAATCATTATCCTGCTTGGTTCAAAGAGTTTCGAGAACGCTTGGGCTCAAAATATCATAGCGACATTGAGGCCACAGTCAGGCCCAATATTAAGGTTCAGGTACTGCGACTGAGTCATTTAGAAATATGACGCCACAGAATAAATTTATTTGTTCTGCTCATCACCAAAACAATATATAAGTAATTATTTTGTAGGTTTACAACCTACCGTACCAGGACGCGCGCCGAGTTGGACTCGTCAATATATGGAACAGATATTTTACGAGTATCACCCGTTAAGTAATTATTATATTGAATAGTTGTGAAAAAGGCATTTGTACGGCTGACGGACAACTGGGAACTTGTCAATTTTACCTAGTTAACTAATTAACATGCAAGCTTGGTAAATCCAATCAGCTCCGACAACTAGGAACCAATCATTACAATTACATATCCCGGACAACTGGGAACCTCTGGAGATACTTTAAATCAGGTGTCCACTGATTTCACAGCTGTTCAGTATATATTTCTGCACTAATTTTGTTCAAGATAATGATAGTTCAAACTCAACATAATAATTACATACAGAATACATATCAATATCAATCTCATGGTCAAAGTATTTGGCAATAAAAAAACCCTGCAGCAAAACCCTCGCCCATGTTAGAGGTCCGGGGAAACTCCGGATCCTCCAACGTCTTGGAATAGTGATTCCAGAACGTCAAAGGAAACTTGGGAGGAACCCTTTCCTCACTGTCGACAGTTACTGACCCAAGGTAGGTTTTCTCGAAATAATTTACCACAACCATTAACTGAGGATAGTTATGTGAACACATGCCGAGAGCTCAAACACTTCTTAATATACTTCATAATACTTCAGCTACTTACTAAACTGTCATGTGAATTGTGAACCCTACCCAGGTTCTTGATTGTCCGGCTGTTAGGATGGTTATAATATGGATCATATCACAAATGATACGTCACTGATTGGACCATGTGATGTGATACCAGCTGTGGGAGCCCGGAATGAGAGGTTCCCAGTTGTCGGTCACCGATTTGTCCTCGATAATTTGTTAGCTAATTTCTTCGATATTAATAGTTATTTACTGACCTTTGTCTTGGTGTAATAGTAAGAGACCTCGTTAGTCATGTAATGCTGATCCAGTTAGTGACGAGCTATGAAGTAACTATTCGACCTCATCAACGCTGACCCTGTCAGTGACGAGCTATGAAGTTATCATTCGACCCCATCAGTCATCAATCCTGATCCTGTCAGTGACGAGTTACAGAGTTATGAAGAAATCAATGAAGACCTAATTAATTTCCTCGTTCCATGAAGATATTCCTCTGGTATCTGGATCCCAGTATCCCTCCTGGCCTGCGTCTGAAGATATGGAGATCCGAAAACCAAGTTTACCTATAAATTGGAACATGCTGTCTTCATTGGAGAATGAGCGAGAAATGATAATCAGTTCCAGGGTCTGATCAATGTGGAATCCAAGGAAGAATTTCTTTCTATATATTCTCATGGGAACCAGACACGAGGGCGGTACTTTCTTAAAAGGGTGGACACGAGGGCGAATCATATAAATCATTTTCAAACGAACTGATCAAAAATAAAACGAAAGTCATTTCATCGGGGCAATAATAATCAAATCACTTTAAAGACAACTTAAATGTAACAACAAAACGCTTAAATATTCATCACATGTTACTCTATTAAAAACCAATTTAAATAAAAATATCTGTATATTATAAAGATTTGCCTATGTGAACTAAAAAAGATTCTGCATTGATAATTTTTTGAGATTTCATTAATCTTATACAAGTTGTGACGAGGCACAATTACAATTTGGGGACGTACACATAATATTACGTAATCAACCGAGCGGGAGGGGGTCTCCAAATGATTACGCTAGTGTAATTTATACACAATAGCTGTGTAAAACTGATTACGGAGGGGGGGGGGGGGGGGGGGGGGGGGAATTGTTCAAAAATTGATTATGTAATATTATGTGAACGACCCTTTTATAGTATCGTAAGGCTGCCCACAAATAAATAGCCAAGTTCACCACATCCCGACCATCATAACCATAACCATGGTAACCATGGTAACCATGGTAACCATGGTAACCATTATAACCACGGTAACCATTATAACCATGGTAACCATTATAACCATGGTAACCATTATAACCATGGTAACCATTATAACCATGGTAACCATTATAACCATGGTAACCATTATAACCATGGTAACCATTATAACCATGGTAACCATTATAACCATGGTAACCATTATAACCATGGTAACCATTATAACCATGGTAACCATTATAACCATGATATTTATAATTATGTCCCGGAACATTTTTACAGGCCCGCTATCCTACCACTGGCCTAAATATCCTACCACTGGCCTACCTAAAGTATGAACAACCTTAACCCCCATAATAAAGCAGGACATTTTCCTTATATTTCATTCAAACACGATTAATTTTCTGTGTAATATTAACTTTGGAATAAATCTGTCATCTTACAAATTATTCTTATTAAAAAATTGTAATTTCCATGAACACTTAATCTTTATCTCTCGGGAAACAATTGCCTGTAATAACTGATTAATTAAAAACTTGATACTTGATAGTAAAGTTGGTCTCTATCAAAACCCAACATAATACTAACCAAACTGTGCACATCTTTTTAATTTTCCAAAATTTATTATTCCAGGTCGCTAATACAATCAACTTGGCAATAACTGTAATAAACGTACAAAAATTGTTAATAAACAAGTAATCTGACTTCTTAAATATATTAATTTTGGAACACATTTAAGTTATTTAATTTTAAATCGAGTTAGATCCTACTATGTACCCAGTAAATATTTTAAATTTGAAATAAAGCTAATGCGAACACGTGTCAACATAATAATAGTAATTCTTTAAAAATAATTTAGATAGCTATAAAGTAAGTGCATAATCATGACATTATATTGTCGTCATAACACATTCCTGTTAAATCATCTCCTGACTATACTTGTAGAGCAGTGTTAACTCTGACTGTAGAGCAGTGTTAACTCTGACTGTAGAGCAGTGTTAACTCTGACTGTAGAGCAGTGTTAACTCTGACTGTAGAGCAGTGTTTATAACTCTGACTGTAGAGCAGTGTTAACTCTGACTGTAGAGCAGTGTTAACTCTGACTGTAGAGCAGTGTTAACTCATTCTGATTCATCATTTGAACACACTCTTGAACTCAGGTCAATCTATTTACAATATAAAATACTGTACACAATATAATCGGAAAGTTGTGAGTTTTCACAACTGATAATTCTCCTCTTTATCCGGAAAGACAGGACACTGAGTTCACTTGATTCCCGCTGCCGCTAGCTCTTCATCCGTAATCCCACTCTTCAGTGTACGTCGGAGAGACTTCCTTTGAGCCATTTTAGATTTGAGGCGCTGCCGAGTTCTGCGCCTAGGTCCATCAGGTTGCAGGGCACTCTCCAGGGACAGGGCTACCTCTTCAGGGGTGTCTGGTGTTTCTACTGCTGCTGGTGCTGCTGGAAAAATAGAATCCAGTTATTAATATTAAGGGAATGACATATTTAAACAACAATATAAAGATACCAGATGGGCGGAGGAGGAAAAAGAAATAGGTGTTATGTTGTGTAATGTTGTGTAATGTTGTGTAATGTTGTGTAATGTTGTGTAATGTTGTGTAATGTTGTGTAATGGTGTGTAATGTTGTGTAGTGTTGTGTAATGTTGTGTAATGTTGTGTAATGTTGTGTAATGTTGTGTAATGTCGTGTAATGTTGTGTAATGGTGTGTAATGTTGTGTAGTGTTGTGTAATGTTGTGAAATGTTGTGTAGTGTTGTGTAATGGTGTGTAATGTTGTGTAATGTTGTGTAATGTTGTGTAATATTGTGTAATGTTGTGAGGGACTGATCTGTAAAAAGGGGCTGATTAATGATCTGGTTGACATGTAACTAGGTGAGACCAATAGTCGTTGTACCAGTGCGCGGCTTTAGCTGTAGTCTACAAGTAAAGCCGCACACTGGTAACGAGTTAACGACTATTAGCTCGGTCTCAACTATTAGCTCAGTCTCACCTATTAGCTCGGTCTCACCTATTAGCTCAGTCTCACCTATTAGCTCGGTCTCACCTATTAGCTCAGTCTCACCTATTAGCTCAGTCTCACCTATTAGCTCGGTCTCACCTATTAGCTCAGTCTCACCTATTAGCTCGGTCTCACCTATTAGCTCAGTCTCACCTATTAGCTCAGTCTCACCTATTAGCTCAGTCTCACCTATTAGCTCAGTCTCACCTATTAGCTCGGTCTCACCTATTAGCTCAGTCTCACCTATTAGCTCAGTCTCACCTATTAGCTCGGTCTCACCTATTAGCTCAGTCTCACCTATTAGCTCAGTCTCACCTATTAGCTCGGTCTCACCTATTAGCTCGGTCTCACCTATTAGCTTGGTCTCACCTATTAGCTTGGTCTCACCTATTAGCTCGGTCTCACCTATTAGCTCAGTCTCACCTATTAGCTCGGTCTCACCTATTAGCTTGGTCTCACCTATTAGCTTGGTCTCACCTATTAGCTCGGTCTCACCTATTAGCTCGGTCTCACCTATTAGCTCAGTCTCACCTATTAGCTCAGTCTCACCTATTAGCTCGGTCTCACCTATTAGCTCGGTCTCACCTATTAGCTCAGTCTCACCTATTAGCTCAGTCTCACCTATTAGCTCGGTCTCACCTATTAGCTCGGTCTCACCTATTAGCTCAGTCTCACCTATTAGCTCAGTCTCACCTATTAGCTCAGTCTCACCTATTAGCTCGGTCTCACCTATTAGCTTGGTCTCACCTATTAGCTCAGTCTCACCTATTAGCTCAGTCTCACCTATTAGCTCGGTCTCACCTATTAGCTCGGTCTCACCTATTAGCTCAGTCTCACCTATTAGCTCAGTCTCACCTATTAGCTCGGTCTCACCTATTAGCTCGGTCTCAACTATTAGCTCAGTCTCACATATTAGCTCAGTCTCACCTATTAGCTCAGTATCACCTATTAGCTCGGTCTCACCTATTAGCTCAGTCTCACCTATTAGCTCGGTCTCACCTATTAGCTCGGTCTCACCGGTTTCAACATGATCACATAATTTCATGAACAGGGGAGGCTGCACATCAGTATAAGAAACCTCATTTTTATGTCAAGAAAATGGTGAAACGTTTTTGTTCATCCGAGTTCCGAGCTCGACACCTTAATCAAACTCAAATCGTTTAAGCGTAATTCGGATAAATGTTTCATGAAATTAAAATCAAGTGAGTTACTGACACAAACGAATTACACATCAGTAAAATTCATGTAGTTTACGGAATTTGTAAAACCCACACGATCTATTCCCGAACACGCTTACCCCTGCTCTCTCGAAATGAAGGCATCGAGAATGACATTCCTACGATTGGTTAGAAATTGATTAACTCATCGGTTGTAAAAACCATGCTCCCAATAAAAAAGAATGCACATCCTGATATAAATTATCAAGTTATGGCTTGAAGTATGAACTATGGCAACTTGCCATAATGGCAACTTGGCAACTTGCCATAATGGCAACTTGGCAACTTGCCATAATGGCAACTTGGCAACTTGCCATAATGGCAACTTGGCAACTTGCCATAATGGCAACTTGGCAACTTGCCATAATGGCAACTTGGCAACTTGCCATAATGGCAACTTGGCAACTTGCCATAATGGCAACTTGGCAACTTGCCATAATGGCAACTTGGCAACTTGCCATAATGGCAACTTGGCAACTTGCCATAATGGCAACTTGGCAACTTGCCATAATGGCAACTTGGCAACTTGCCATAATGGCAACTTGGCAACTTGCCATAATGGCAACTTGGCAACTTGCCATTATGGCAACTTGCCATAATGGCAACTTGGCAACTTGCCATAATGGCAACTTGGCAACTTGCCATAATGGCAACTTGGCAACTTGCCATAATGGCAACTTGGCAACTTGCCATAATGGCAACTTGGCAACTTGCCATAATGGCAACTTGGCAACTTGCCATAATGGCAACTTGGCAACTTGCCATAATGGCAACTTGGCAACTTGCCATAATGGCAACTTGGCAACTTGCCATAATGGCAACTTGGCAACTTGCCATAATGGCAACTTGGCAACTTGCCATAATGGCAAGGCGTACAATAATACTTACGGGATTTAGTCTTGGCAAGGAGTTTCTTAGTTTTTGGATCGATAGCCTGATTGGCACTTTCCGCTCGTTCCCGGTCAGGCCTTCCGACGTGTTTCCCGGATACCATGTTCTTAATATCTGTTATCTTTATACCTCGTGTTTTACGGCGCTCCTGGTGGATTAAGATGATTTAAAGTGTGTGTATATACGGATACCATGTTCTTAATATCTGTTATCTTTATACCTCGTGTTTTACGGCGCTCCTGGTGGATTAAGATGATTTAAAGTGTGTGTATTATATACGGATACCATGTTCTTAAGATCTGTTATCTTTATACCTCGTGTTTTACGGCGCTCCTGGTGGATTAAGATGATTTAAAGTGTGTGTATATACGGATACCATGTTCTTAAGATCTGTTATCTTTATACCTCGTGTTTTACGGCGCTCCTGGTGGATTAAGATGATTTAAAGTTTGTATATATGCGTATATCTGTGTGTAACTATGGTAACTAGTAGTGTAACTATGGTAACTAGTAGTATATCTGCGGCAAGTTTTCTCTTAAGACAGTGTCAGTATTGGCAAATATAAAATACTGACATTAATACATCACATAACAGGGATTTTACTCGTTACTTGCCCCCCCCCCCCCCCCCACTACATTATTTGTCTGCTAAAATACAGGTGCCGAAATAAAGTGTTACCAGGAGAATAATTACAAACTTTAAAACTTCCCAAAGTTTACAAGGTACCCAAGGTAGGTACAGTTTACAAGGTACCCAAGGTACTATACTTGGTAAACAGGTATGTTTTACAAGGTACCCAAGGTACTATACTTGGTAAACAGGTATGTTTTACAAGGTACCCAAGGTACTATACTTGGTAAACAGGTATGTTTTACAAGGTACCCAAGGTACTATACTTGGTAAACAGGTATGTTTTACAAGGTACCCAAGGTACTATACTTGGTAAACAGGTATGTTTTACAAGGTACCCAAGGTACTATACTTGGTAAACAGGTATGTTTTACAAACCTTCATTTTCTTCTTCTTCGCCTGCTCCAGTACGACCGCTTCAATCGCTGTGCGGTACTCCAGAGCAAACTCGCTTATAATCCTACAAAACTCATCTGGTACCATGAACCTGTCAACGTACACAACAGTCAGTCGCTAGATAAGCTAGATAAGCTAGATAAGCTAGATAAGCTAGATAAGCTAGATAAGCTAGATAAGCTAGATAAGCTAGATAAGGTAGATAAGCTAGATAAGCTAGATAAGCTAGATAAGCTAGATAAGCTAGATAAGCTAGATAAGCTAGATAAGCTAGATAAGTTAGATAAGCTAGATAAGCTAGATAAGCTAGATAAGCTAGATAAGCTAGATAAGCTAGATAAGCTAGATAAGCTAGATAAGCTAGATAAGCTAGATAAGCTAGATAAGCTAGATAAGATAGATAAGCTAGATAAGCTAGATAAGCTAGATAAGCTAGATAAGCTAGATAAGCTAGATAAGCTAGATAAGCTAGATAAGCTAGATAAGCTAGATAAGCTAGATAAGCTAGATAAGGTAGATAAGCTAGATAAGCTAGATAAGCTAGATAAGCTAGATAAGCTAGATAAGCTAGATAAGCTAGATAAGTTAGATAAGCTAGATAAGCTAGATAAGCTAGATAAGCTAGATAAGCTAGATAAGCTAGATAAGCTAGATAAGCTAGATAAGCTAGATAAGCTAGATAAGCTAGATAAGCTAGATAAGCTAGATAAGCTAGATAAGCTAGATAAGTTAGATAAGATAGATAAGCTAGATAAGCTAGATAAGCTAGATAAGCTAGATAAGCTAGATAAGCTAGATAAGCTAGATAAGCTAGATAAGCTAGATAAGCTAGATAAGTTAGATAAGCTAGATAAGCTAGATAAGCTAGATAAGCTAGATAAGCTAGATAAGCTAGATGAGCTAGATGAGCTAGATGAGCTAGATGAGCTAGATAAGCTAGATAAGCTAGATAAGTTAGATAAGCTAGATAAGGTAGATAAGCTAGATAAGGTAGATAAGCTAGATAAGCTAGATAAGCTAGATAAGCTAGATGAGCTAGATAAGCTAGATAAGCTAGATAAGCTAGATAAGCTAGATAAGCTAGATAAGTTAGATAAGCTAGATAAGCTAGATAAGCTAGATAAGCTAGATAAGCTAGATAAGCTAGATAAGCTAGATAAGCTAGATAAGCTAGATAAGCTAGATAAGCTAGATAAGCTAGATAAGCTAGATAAGCTATCATGAATTCAAAAAGGTTCTTCCGATTCTGTCAAATCTAACATCTTCAGTCAGAAACAGAGAGCCGAGAGGTTTAGTTGGTTATTTGAACACTGAAATAAGCAGTTGCACAGCGAATCTTTCACTAACGCCAAAGAAAAGGTGACATTTTAAAACTCACTTTTTTACAGGATCTATTCCAAAGTAGAGAAGTAAATTATAATATCTGTTGGCAACCCTTTTATTCACTAGTTTCAAGATATTAATCCGCTCAGCAACCGATCGTAAAAAGGTCAACTGCTTCTGCATAATTTCGTTTGTAGAAGACGTGTGTTTGCTGGTGGAAAAATAAAGTTTTAAAATTTAATGCTAAAACGTATGCGGAGGGTAACCGTGGCGACGACACAAGATACAATTCGAAAACTATCATAACATGGAGAAAATGTGGACAACAAAACCACGACCATCATTTCTAGACTCTTCTTTAACAGCGCAACCTTCACAGGAAAAAAAGGAAATCTCGAAGTGTAAACCTTATGATGCGGAGATCTATGTGGTTACTATGTGGTTACTATGTGGTTACTATGTGGTTACTATGTGGTTACTATGTGGTTACTATGTGGTTACTACTGGTAAGTGTAAAGTAAACCTTATGATCCGGAGATCTATGTGGTTACTATGTGGTTACTATGTGGTTACTATGTGGTTACTATGTGGTTACTATGTGGTTACTATGTGGTTACTATGTGGTTACTATGTGGTTACTATGGTTACTACTGGTAAGTGTAAAGTAAACCTTATGATCCGGAGATCTATGTGGTTACTATGTGGTTACTATGTGGTTACTATGTGGTTACTATGGTTACTATGTGGTTACTACTGGTAAGTGTAAAGTAAAAACCTTATGATGCGGAGATCTTCCCAGCTACGATCACAAAGTTGATCCATCTTCTCTAAAGTGGCGCCCACTTCGTCAAACGAGATCCGACATATTCTGTGTGTGTGTCCTATCTCCTGAACAGTAAATATTGTTAATACAAAGTACAGATTAACAATTCTAACAGATCGAATTTTTTGTGGTTTTTAAGGCAAACAAAAATTTAAACAAAATTCCAACAAATCAATCCCTTGTTCAGTTGTGGTTATATTTTATAATTTTTTTAAGGAATCATTTCTCCGATAAGTGGTGGACACTGGTAACCGATAATTTTCCACAAGGGTTGCCAGAGTATTATGAGGACAAACTGCGAGCCACCTCAGACTCAACAGCCCCCCCCCCCAGGTATTATTATATTTAGCCCCCCCCCCAATGTATTATTATATTTAGCCCCCCCCCCCCCAAGTATTATTATATTTAGCCCCCCCCCCCCAAGTATTATTATATTTAGCCCCCCCCCAATGTATTATTATATTTAGCCCCCCCCCCAAGTATTATTATATTTAGCCCCCCCCCCCCAATGTATTATTATATTTAGCCCCCCCCCCAATGTATTATTATATTTGGCCCCCCCCCCAATGTATTATTATATTTAGCCCCCCCCCCCCAAGTATTATTATATTTAGCCCCCCCCCCCAGGTATTATTATATTTAGCCCTCCCCCCCAGGTATTATTATATTTAGCCCTCCCCCCCCCCAGGTATTATTATATTTAGCCCCCCCCCCCAATGTATTATTATATTTAGCCCCCCCCCCCCAATGTATTATTATATTTAGCCCCCCCCCCCCCCAAGTATTATTATATTTAGCCCCCCCCCCCCCCCAATGTATTATTATATTTAGCCCCCCCCCCCAAGTATTATTATATTTAGCCCCCCCCCCCCAATGTATTATTATATTTAGCCCCCCCCCAAGTATTATTATATTTAGCCCCCCCCCCAAGTATTATTATATTTAGCCCCCCCCCCCAATGTATTATTATATTTAGCCCCCCCCCCCCCAATGTATTATTATATTTAGCCCCCCCCCCCCAAGTATTATTATATTTAGCCCCCCCCCCAATGTATTATTATATTTAGCCCCCCCCCAAGTATTATTATATTTAGCCCCCCCCCCCAATGTATTATTATATTTAGCCCCCCCCCCAAGTATTATTATATTTAGCCCCCCCCCCCAAGTATTATTATATTTGGCCCCCCCCCCAATGTATTATTATATTTAGCCCCCCCCCCCCAAGTATTATTATATTTAAACCCCCCCCCCAGGTATTATTATATTTAGCCCTCCCCCCAGGTATTATTATATTTAGCCCTCCCCCCCCAGGTATTATTATATTTAGCCCCCCCCCCCAATGTATTATTATATTTAGCCCCCCCCCCCAATGTATTATTATATTTAGCCCCCCCCCCCCCCAAGTATTATTATATTTAGCCCCCCCCCCCCCCCCCAATGTATTATTATATTTAGCCCCCCCCCCCCAAGTATTATTATATTTAGCCCCCCCCCCCCAATGTATTATTATATTTAGCCCCCCCCCAAGTATTATTATATTTAGCCCCCCCCCCAAGTATTATTATATTTAGCCCCCCCCCCCAAGTATTATTATATTTGGCCCCCCCCCAATGTATTATTATATTTAGCCCCCCCCCCCCCCCCCAAGTATTATTATATTTAAACCCCCCCCCCAGGTATTATTATATTTAGCCCTCCCCCCAGGTATTATTATATTTAGCCCTCCCCCCCCATGTATTATTATATTTAGCCCCCCCCCCCAGGTATTATTATATTTAGCCCCCCCAGGTATTATTATATTTAGCCCCCCCCCAGGTATCATTATATTTACCACCCCCCCCAGGTATTATTATATTTAGCCCCCCCCCCCCAGGTATTATTATATTTAGCCCCCCCAGGTATTATTATATTTAGCCCCCCCCCAGGTATCATTATATTTACCCCCCCCCCAGGTATTACTATATTTAGCCCCCCCCCCCCAATGTATTATTATATTTACCCCCCCCCCCCCCCCCCAATGTATTATTATATTTAGCCCCCCCCCCCCCAAAAGGTATTATTATATTTAGCCCCCCCCCCCCCCAATGTATTATTATATTTACCCCCCCCCCCCCCCCAGGTATTATTATATTTAGCCCCCCCCCCCCAGGTATTATTATATTTAGCCCCCCCAGGTATTATTATATTTAGCCCCCCCCCAGGTATCATTATATTTACCCCCCCCCCAGGTATTACTATATTTAGCCCCCCCCCCCAGGTATTATTATATTTAGCCCCCCCCCCCCAATGTATTATTATATTTACCCCCCCCCCCCCCAGGTATTATTATATTTAGCCCCCCCCCCCCCAGGTATTATTATATTTAGCCCCCCCAGGTATTATTATATTTAGCCCCCCCCCAGGTATCATTATATTTACCCCCCCCCCAGGTATTACTATATTTAGCCCCCCCCCCCCCAGGTATTATTATATTTAGCCCCCCCCCCCCAATGTATTCTTATATTTACCCCCCCCCCCAATGTATTATTATATTTAGCCCCCCCCCCCCAATGTATTATTATATTTAGCCCCCCCCCCCCCCGGTATTATTATATTTAGCCCCCCCCCCCCCCCCCCAATGTATTATTATATTTATTTTACCCGGTGCAGGTCCCCTTGAGTTGGGTGGTTCTGGTGCATCATGCAGGCTACGTGGTGTACCATGGTTTGCTTTTTAACTGTGTCCTTGATGTCCGCCACTTTGCTCAGAAACGTCAGCTCGAAACCGTCACTCGTTTCCTGCGGAGGAATGTGGTTACTATGTGGTTACTATGTGGTTACTACTGGTTACTACTGGTTACTAATGGTTACTACTATTTACAACTCGAAACTGTCACACGTTTCCTGCGCAGGAATAAGTTTATCTTCTGTTTGCACGTGTGGACGCACACTTTTTGTTACATGATACCTATGATTATTATTTTTGTTTACCACCATATTCGCTACTAAATCACTAATGAGCTATGGAAAATAAGAGCGTGTACCTGGCGGAGGAAGTTGCCAATCTCCAGAAGGTAACTAATGATGAGATGCAGTGTTTTACAAGATTTCAGTTCCGAGCAGCACTCCTTCAGATCCATCAGATAGTCCGCTACCTGACAGTTCATATCATAGTTAACTAATTACAACACTAATAAACTAATTACAAACACTACAACACTACAAATACATTACATTTATTGAGCGGGCAAATCCTGTCCAAACCCAGGATGCACAACATGCAGAATTTGTTTTAACTTTGTATGAAAAGCATCAATGCAATTACCTGAGAGTACATATCATACAATTAATACACTAACTTGGACCACTTGATCTGCATGGTTAAAACTTTGCAGAGAGCAATTTTGGGAAGCTGAACATTACGTCAATGCTCCTTCATAAATCAATTTACCGATAAGATTCTAGCGTACCTCGTCTTCCAAAGCGTCGAAGTCGATCATGAAAGCCCAGATGTTCAGCCTATTCCTGATATTGGGGATTACTGAAAGTGTGTACACGAACTCTTCTTCTTTGGCAAGCGGAATGTCGGGATTAGCTAACTTGGCTTCGGTTATCTGGTTCTTCTCCTCTTCAGATGGCACCAACTTAACCAGCGACTGAAGAGGTGGGTATTTGACATTGGTATCATTTGCAAAATATAATCAATCACAGCCTCACAACACGCACTGAATGAACTGAAGAAAACCATGGTTACTACTGGTTACTACTGGTTACTACTGGTTATTACTGGTTACTAATGGTTACTACTGGTTACTACTGGTTACTACTGGTTATTACTGGTTACTACTGGTTACTACTGGTTACTACTGGTTATTACTGGTTACTAATGGTTACTACTGGTTACTACTGGTTACTACTGGTTATTACTGGTTACTAATGGTTACTACTGGTTACTACTGGTTACTACTGGTTATTACTGGTTACTAATGGTTACTACCCTTACTACTGGTTACTACTGGTTACTACTGGTTACTACTGGTTACATGGGTGCTCACACTGATGCCCTCTCGAGTGATGTGGGAAGTGTCCATGTTGAGGATAGCTTGTTTGATGTGGCGCGCAGCTGGCAGATGAGGCAGCTGGAGTCCTACTGTACGGGACCTGCTGCCTTCCAGAACTCTGATGAACTTTGCCGCCGTAGATTTTTCAGTGTCCAGGGACTTACTCGTTTCTATCTTCTTTTTGGCGAAAAGAACGGCGAGTTGGTCGTAGTCGACCTTAACCTCCGGGCGCTCTCTCCATATAGATTTAGACCTGAATATAAACAGGTTCAGAACTTGAAATCTACCATAAAAATCAAATGAAGAAATGAAAACGTTATAACCTCAATAAATTGCACAATGACAAGGTACTCATCAAACTCACTCTATTTTCGAGGCGGCGTAACCCGGAATGGTAGGCGGCAGTCCAGTCGTTTTATTTAGATTTACCTTAGACCAGAAAACTTTTACTAAATCTTTTTTGTTTGCTACTTTTCGCTTGGCTGATACACCGTCTGATTTAGAACCTGGGGCTGGCGGGGCGCCAGGAGCTCGAGGGGCACCAGGAGGTCGAGGGGCTGGTGGGGCACCAGGTGGTCGAGGTGCTGGTGGGGCACCAGGAGCTCGAGGGGCTGGTGGGGCACCAGGTGGTCGAGGGGCAGGAGGTGGAGGCGGAGCTCCCGGCGGGCGTGGGGCAGGAGGAGGGGGAGGAGCGCCTGGAAGTCTGGGTGCAGGAGGGGCACCGGGAGGTGGTGGAGGGGCAGGAGGTGCTCCAGGTGGTCTTGGAGCTGGGGGCACACCAGGTGGTCTTGGAGCTGGAGGAGCACCAGGTGCAGGTGGTGCACCAGGTGGAGGTGGTGCACCAGGGGCAGGTGCTACAGGCTGAACCGGTCTGGTTTCGATAACAGTTTTGACATTAATATCGTCTTTATCCGATAAGTCTGCAAAGTTATGTCGTTTGATAGCAAACGAGCTGTTCGAAATATTGAAAGTGGTAGGTCGACTGAGACTGGCTGGGTCAAAGGAAGGGATCACTTCCTCATCCTCTTCTTCTAATATGCACTTCTCGTTTACCACTTCCGGCTTCTGTGAAGGGTATATATAACTAACAAGCAGAGAAATTGTTAACCTTTAAGTTAACTTTGGTTTAATTCATTACCGAAAACGAGCAATTGACCTTAACCAGGCAGAATGCTCCAGCAGAATATATAAAATGGCTAAAAATTTAAATTTAATGAAAACCTCGTCAATTATTCTGCCAGTATCAATAGGTTCAGATTTTCTCATGTTTTTGATAACATCAATCTTGTTTTTAAGTCTGGACCAACTATTATTGTTTGAATTTTTGAGAATCTCGCTGTCTTTCTCCGGAAGGTCGCCCTTGTGCTGTTTCTGAGTTGCTCGGACCACCTCCTCAAACTGACGACCAACTGAGGTGGGGGTGAGTTTAAGGGGGGGGGGGGGGGGGGTGAGTTTAAAGGGGGGGGGGTGAGTTTAAGAGGGGGGGAGGGTGAGTTTAAGAGGGGGGGTGAGTTTAAGAGGGGGGGAGGGTGAGTTTAAGGGGAGGGGGTGAGGGTGAGTTTCAGGGGGGGGGGAGGGTGAGTTTAAGGGGGGGGGGGGGGGGGTGAGTTTAAGGGGGGTGAGGGTGAGTTTAAGGGGGGGGGTGATGGTGAGTTTAAGGGGGGGAGGTGAGGGTGAGTTTAAGGGGGGAGGTGAGGGTGAGTTTAAGGGGGGAGGGTGAGTTTAAGGGGGGAGGTGAGGGTGAGTTTAAGGGGGGGGGGTGATGGTGAGTTTAAGGGGGGGAGGTGAGGGTGAGTTTAAGGGGGGAGGTGAGGGTGAGTTTAAGGGGGGAGGGTGAGTTTAAGGGGGGAGGTGAGGGTGAGTTTAAGGGGGGGGGGGGAGGGTGAGTTTAAGGGGGGGGGGGGGGATTACTACAATAATCATACAATAATCATAGTACAATATGGGACCTATAAGAAACACTAAATTCCTCCTATGTTTACTGTTAAGTCTGTCAGCTGTTTGTCAGTCAACTGGAGCTAAAAAGAGAGAACGCGTCACGTGATGATACCAACGCATTCCAGTCCTCATTAACACCTATTCCTGTTGATCTATTGAATGGTCGAAGAGTTGGCAGACAACTGAACCCAATTGAACCTAGTTCCCACGCAGTTAACAGGCACCCAATCAGCTTAATTGGGTGACCTATCAGCTTAAATCCCAAAACGACAACTGAACCCAGGTCATATCACAACTGCACCCAAATTGAAAATACGACAACTGAACCCAACGATCGGATTTTCAGTGATATGACTGTGGTCATTATCACTATAGGATAGATCATGACCACTGTAATTTAGAGCATTGGAGCCCTGTGCTTAGCCCGGTAAAATATTAATACATACATGCTACATGAAGATTGAAGAGGTCTCCTCCTAGTCGTTGGAGTGGCCTGCATCACACACATCTCTTCTACGGTGTTCCACTAGTTTTAGCTAACTGTTTTACTGCGTCAGCGGTGCCAAACCTCATTCCCACGACCCTGACAACTTAGTAGCTGAGAAAGCAGAGTTCAGAGCAGAATTGAAGCGGAAAGCTGCCGACCAACACCTCCCAGCAACACAAAACCTCCTCACCGAAGCCTTATCTACATGCCCATCCGAAATCAACGTGGTACTACCTAAACTAGAATCCCTCGCCAGAAATTGTCCAACGATCACGAGCAGATAAGTCCGGATCTGCCAACCACTCCGAAGCACCAACCTCAACAGACCGAAATTATAGCACTAGAAACCAGGCAGCAGCTAAACTAGAACGGTATTTGGAAACCTGTTAAACTGTTAGTGATTTCTAGTGACGATTGGGTTCAGTTGTCGTTTCAAAGTTAATTAGGTAGTCTGATTGGGTCGAAGTCCTCGTTTAAAGTTAAACATCAGTAGTATCTGTCAGTAGTGGTACAAACAAGTCACCTCTCTCTGTGTCACAGTGTCACAGTGTCACAGTGTCACAGTGTCACAGTGTCACAGTGTCACAGTGGTCCTTGGTTTTAAACCTACTTCTATCATCTCTATGCTTCTTGTCATCATCAGACTTGATGTTGAGGATTGTTCTTCGCCTCCGCAAACGTTTCTCTGCCTTTTCCCGCCTCTCTTGTATCATAGCGATCCGAGCAGCGTCCGTCTTTTGAGGTGGTGGTGGGGGAACTACAAGATGATATGAGTTTAGAGGTGGTGGTGGGGGAACTACAAGATGATATGAGTTTAGAGGTGGTGGTGGGGGAACTACAAGATGATATGAGTTTTAGAGGTGGTGGTGGGGGAACTACAAGATGATATGAGTTTAGAGGTGGTGGTGGGGGAACTACAAGATGATATGAGTTTAGAGGTGGTGGTGGTGGAACTACAAGATGATATGAGTTTAGAGGCGGTGGTGGTGGAACTACAAGATGATATGAGTTTAGAGGCGGTGGTGGGGGAACTACAAGATGATATGAGTTTAGAGGCGGTGGTGGGGGAACTACAAGATGATATGAGTTTAGAGGTGGTGGTGGGGGAACTACAAGATGATATGAGTTTAGAGGTGGTGGTGGTGGGGGAACTACAAGATGATATGAGTTTAGAGGTGGTGGTGGGGGAACTACAAGATGATATGAAATTAGAGGTGGTGGTGGGGGAACTACAAGATGATATGAGTTTAGAGGCGGTGGTGGGGGAACTACAAGATGATATGAGTTTAGAGGTGGTGGTGGGGGAACTACAAGATGATATGAGTTTAGAGGTGGTGGTGGGGGAACTACAAGATGATATGAGTTTAGAGGTGGTGGTGGTGGAACTACAAGATGATATGAGTTTAGAGGTGGTGGTGGGGGAACTACAAGATGATATGAGTTTAGAGGTGGTGGTGGGGGAACTACAAGATGATATGAGTTTAGAGGTGGTGGTGGGGGAACTACAAGATGATATGAGTTTAGAGGTGGTGGTGGTGGAACTACAAGATGATATGAGTTTAGAGGTGGTGGTGGTGGAACTACAAGATGATATGAGTTTAGAGGTGGTGGTGGGGGAACTACAAGATGATATGAGTTTAGAGGTGGTGGTGGTGGAACTACAAGATGATATGAGTTTAGAGGCGGTGGTGGGGGAACTACAAGATGATATGAGTTTAGAGGCGGTGGTGGGGGAACTCCAAGATGATATGAGTTTAGAGGCTGGTGGTGGTGGAACTACAAGATGATATGAGTTTAGAGGTGGTGGTGTGGAACTACAAGATGATATGAGTTTAGAGGAGGTGGTGGTGGAACTACAAGATGATATGAGTTTAGAGGTGGTGGTGGTGGAACTACAAGATGATATGAGTTTAGAGGTGGTGGTGGTGGAACTACAAGATGATATGAGTTTAGAGGTGGTGGTGGTGGAACTACAAGATGATATGAGTTTAGAGGTGGGGTGGTGGTGGAACTACAAGATGATATGAGTTTTTTTGAGGGGGTGGTGGTGGAACTACCAAAATTTTTATGAAATTTAGAGGTGGGGGGTGTAACCCAAAACAAAAGGGTATTTAATTTAGAGGGGTGGGGGGTGGAACTAAAAAAATTATATGATTTTAGATGGGGTGGTGGTGGAACTACAAAGATGATATGAAATTTTAAAAAGGGTTGGGGGTTTTGGGTAACCCAAAAAATGATATGATTTTAGAGGGGGTGGGAGGGGGAAAAATTTCAAAATGAAAAGGAATTTAAAAAGGTGGTGGTGGGGGAAAATAAAAAATATGAAAATGATTTTTGAGGTGGTGGGGGGGGAAAAAATGAATGATTTTTGAAGGGGGTGGTGGGGGAACAAAAAGATGAATATTTTTTAAAGGGGGGTGGTGGTGGAACTACAAGAAAATAGAGTTTTTGAGGGGTGGTGGAACTTAAAAAATTATATGGTTTTGAAATTGGGGGTGGGGGAACTAACAAGATGAAAAAAGGGTTTTGAGGGGGTGGGGTTGGGAAATAAAAATAAGGTTTATGGGGTGGGGTTTTGGAATAAAGATTATAAAAAAGGCGGGGGGTGGTGGGCCCCAAAAAAAGAAGAATGATTTTGGGTGGGGGGTGGGAAAATAAAAAGATGATATGAGTTTTTAGGGAGGCGGGGGGGGAGGAATGGAAAATACAAGATATTGGGGTCTAAAGGTGGGTGGTGGGGGAACTACAAGATGATTTTGAGTTTAAAAGGTGGTGGTGGGGGAACCCCCAAAAATGGAAAAAGTTTTGGGGGGTGGTGGTGGGGGAAATCAAGAAGATTAAAAATTTAAAAAGGGGGGTGGTTGGGAAAAAACCCAAAAAGATTGAGTTTAGGGTGGTTGGGGGAGGAAAATAAAAAGGGTTTATATGAGTTTAGAGGGGGGTGGGAACAAACAAAATTTTGGGGGTTAAAGGGGTTTAGGAGGGTTGGGGTGTGGAACCAACAAAAATATATGTTTAGGGGGTGTGGGGGAACTCCCGATGATATTAGTTTAGAGGGGTGGGGGTGGAAAAATACAAATGATATGAGTTTAGGGGGTGGTGGTGGGGGAACCAAAAAAATGATAAGAGTTTAGAAAGGGATTTGGGGGGGGAACTACAAGAGATATTTAGTTTTTAGGGGGTGGGGTGGAACTTACAAGAAGATATGAGTTTTGAGGGGGTGGTGGGGGGAAAATAAAAAGAAATATTTTTTTTAAAGGTGGGTTTGGGGGTGGGGGAACTACAAGATGGGGTTTAGGGTTTTGAGGTGGTGGTGGGGGAACTAAAGATATATGAGTTTAGAGGTGGTGGGGGGGGGAACCCAACCAAAGATGATAAGAGTTTTGAGGTGGTGGGGGTTGGGAAATAAAAAGATGATAAAGAGTTTAGAGGGGGTGGAGGAAAATTACCCGATATATGAGTTTTAGGGTTTTTGGTGGTGGGAAATAACCCGAAGGTATTATTTTAAGGGGGTGGGGTGGGGAACAACAAGGGGTGATAAAAGTTTTAAAAGGGGGGTTGGGGGGGAACTACAAGAAAAAAAATATTTTTTAAGGGGGTTTTTGGGGGGGAACTACAAGATGAAAGTTTAGAGGCGGTTTGGGGGTGGAAATACAAGATTAATGAGTTTTTGAGGTGGGGGTGGGCCCACAAGATTAATGATTTTTAGGGGGTGGGGTGGGGGAAATACAAAAAATTATATGCGTTTAAGGGGGGAGGAGGTGGTGGGGAACACAAAAAAGGGTGGGGTGGGAAAAAACAAGATGAATGGTTTAAAATGGTTCAATAACAAATGGAAAGGTTTTAAAGGGGGGGGTTTTGGGGTTGGAACAAAAAGATTATATGGGGTTTAGAAGGGGGTGTGGGGGAACTACAAGATGATAAAAGTTTTTGAGGGGTGGGTGGGGAACTACAAAGAAAAATTTAGATTGGGGGTTTAGAGGGTTTTGGGGGGGGGGAACTTTCAAGATGGAAAAGGTTTAGATGGGGGTGGGGGGAAAAAACAAATGATATGAAATTTTTAAAAGGGGGTGGTGGGGGAAATACAAGATGTATGAGTTTTTGAGGGGTGGGTTGTTAAAATAAAAATGAATGATTTTTTGAGGTGGGGGTGGGGGAAATAAAAAATATATGAATTTTTTGAGGGGTGGTGGTGGAATACAAGAGATATGAGTTTAAGGGGTGGGTGGGGGACAAAAGATGATATAGGGGGGTTTAGGGGGGGGGGTTTGGGGGAAAATAAAAAATGAAAATAGTTTTTTGAGGCGGGGGTTTTGGGGGGAAATACAAATATATGAGTTTAAAAGGTGGTGGGGGGGGGAACTACAAAGATTAAAAAGTTTAGAAGGGGGAGGTTTGGGGGGGAATTAAAAAGATGATATGGGTTTTTTTTTGGGGTGGGTGGGGAACTACCAAAGAAATGAGATTTTGGGGGGGTGGTGGGGAACCCACAAGATGATATGAGTTTAGGGGGGGTGTGGTGGTTTAAAACAAAAAGAAGATATGAGTTTAAAAGGTGGTGGTTTGGGGAAAAACCAAAAGAATTTTATTTAAATTTTAGGAGGTGGTGGTTTTGGGGGGCTAAAAAAATAAAAATTTTTTGGGTTTTTTGGGGGGGAAACCCCCCAAAATATAGTTTGGGGGTGGTGGGCCCCAAAAAAATAAAGGGTTTTGAAGAGGTTTTTTAACCCCCCACCGAAATGGTATATTTTGGATGTTTTAACCCCACAATTAAAAATTTTTTTAGGATTTTGTAACCAACAACCAAAAATTTTAAAGATTAATTTTAACCCCCAAATTATTTTGAGTATTTAATTATGTGGGGGAAAATTAAAATTTTATTTTTGAGTTTTAACAAAACCGGAAATTTTTAACCCCCCAACAAAATTTATTTTTTTTCAAAACCCCCCCTTATAAACCCCCCAAAAAATTTGGAAAATTTAAACCATGGTCGGAAAAATTTTTTAAGGCACCGGGGTCACGACCAAAACACCCCTTTACCGATCGATGTGGAAACCAATAAATTCCCCTACAAAACTACCAAAAGGCCTTTTATTTCATGATCGTTTGTAACGGGGGCCCCTTTAATTTAAAAAGGCAAAATATTTTTTCAATTCGGGAGTAAACCCCGAAAAACACAACCCTTTACTTTTTAAAAGTGTCTTTCCATTTAAATTTTGGTATCCGGCAATTTTTGACCCTGATCAAAGTAAAAACCTTTAATCTTTGACAGTAAAAGAATGAAAATCATCCTCGGCCCGTGTTATAAAAAAGGGTAATTTTTACAGAGTGCCAAATAACAAAAAATCGAGGCCCGAAGCTTTAACCTTTCCCCAATTTCTGCAAACAAAAATTTTAAAAGTTAAAGGGTTCTAAATTGCGGTAAAAAGAAAAAAATCTACCTTTGGGAAATTAAAATTTAAAAGGGGAAAAATTTCAGAAAATTTGGATTTAACACTTTAAAATTTCCCCTGTTAAAAGTTGGGTTGAAAAACTAAAAATTTCCCATGTTTAAAAGGGTTTGGGTTGGGAAAACAAAATTTCCCTGTTAGATTTTGGGTTGAAAAACAAAAAATTACCCAAGTTAAAAGTTTTGGGTTGAACAAATAAAATTAAACCCCTGTTAAAAGGGTTGGGTTGAACACTAAAATTACCCAAAGTTAAAAATTTGGGTGGGAAAACTAAAATTACC